TCGACAACAAAACTATTCCAATGCACTCCATGTCTAGTAGAAACATTCCAGAAAATAGCTGACTTCCATAGGGGAGTTCCCGTGAGCGCTGCAGAGCCCAATGTGTCTGATGACTCTGACAATGAGGCAAACCGGTGGGCCAAGCCAGTTGTCGTCCTAACTCCAATTTAGAGCGAAGGCATAAACAGCCTAACAGCCTGTGAGCTGGCTGAAAAAATCGAGAGTCAAGCCTAGGCAACTCGCCGTTGTAGCTACAGGCGAACCTGTAATTAGTGCAAGGACCTAAGAGGTGATGTAGCCCTTGAAAAACAGAATCAATGAGGCCGTAACCATCGAAGTCAACGAGTTTGCAGATACAGTCCGCACTGGCGTTCAGGTCCCTAGGGATCCACTTGAACTCGAACGAAATACAATGATGGGAGCAAATTTGAAAAACAACTAGGGCTAAATCCCGGAGATTGCGTTTCCTGCTGCCGTCGCGAAGAATGGATTAGACGTTATGGTTGTCAGAATACCAAAAAACCTTGGACTGATTATGTAAAGGGCTCCCGAAGGCTAGTAAGGCAAGACAAACCGCCTTGAGTTCTCTCCAAGTCGATCTACGAACACTTTCCGACCAATTCTGATGAAAAATCAGCTCAGGTTCAGACTCCTCTTAAGCGCCGCAGGCTGAATAGGAAGCATCGGAGAAGCCGGAGCTTACTCTCACTGGAAGCGAACTGGAACCCCTCCATAAATTTTGCCGTTGAGAGGCTAACACTGTTCGACCAAAATACAATTTCAAACAAAGAATCAACGGACAGGAAAACCTAGCTATCCCAGGAAACAGCTGAGTAAACAACTGAGAAAAGAAGTCGGGCCATGATACACGCGACAGATCCCACGCAACTCGAGAGGGAAATACTTTGGCCAGCTACACACGGGACGCGTAGAACATGGAGTGTGGTGGAAGACTAATATGAAGACAAAGCCACCAGGTCGTGAGACGATTTAGCAATGCGTTCATCCGTGGCTCTAATACTTCCATCGAGAGTGTTATGAACACGAAACCACGAGAAAATTTGAACGGGCTCCCACAGGGACTTTTCCTCATTAGGAATACGAACAAAGCGAGACTAAGGCAAATCGGCATGGACAGCCCGGAAACTGTAAATTTTGGCCTGAACGCGATAGGCTCCTCCTCCTATAGCTAGACCATAGTCAAGAAAAATGGCAATAGGGATACCTTGGCTTCTTCTTGATTTCTGAAGCGGTTTGAGGGAGGCAAACAAGAACCCAAAGGGAAGCGCGCAAAGTAGAAAATACCTAAAAATCCAGGTGCCGAGATCCCAGGTGAACGCAAGGAAATACCGGTGATCAGGGAAAATTACGATAACCGCACTAGAGATAAAATATAAATAAATAAAAACCCATCTCAAAAATTTAAGTGGCCATGGACAAGTCTTCGCACTTGAATTTCTGTTTGTAGAAAAAGGTGCAAACGTGCCTAAAATCCAGGATTAACCTTTGTTAGCCGGAGCGGCGGGTCAAACAGAAAGCGGGTAAATGATATTGGAATGCAAAAAATTTCTGAAAGGAGGTTGAGACTGGGAAGCTCATTAACAGCTACGGACAAAAAGAACTGTAAACACGTGCGGAGGCATTGTAAGATTAGTAAAAAAAACCTAAAAAGCTGGAAGAAGGGGATTTTGTAACTTAGACTAATAACATTCAAAATGAACAGAGAAACTAGCAAAGTATGCCAGAAGTAGATCACTATGAAAAATATTCCCCAAACTGAAGGTAGAATAGAAATATCAACGGTACACTCAGAGCTCTACACCGCACCTAAAACTAGCGGGGTGAACGTCAGAAGAAACTGGTATAACATCGAGACAATCCTGATCCGTATTACGCCTTGCCGCTTAAAAAATTCAGTACTAAAATAGAATAGACTGCACCTGATTGTTGTCCTTCATCTAGCCCCTTTTGGAGTTTGGCATGTTTGGCTTGTCCATTGTCGGGTAACAGGAAGGCTTTCCACAGGCAAAACAGGTCCCGACACTATGTCGACGAGAAGGCGAAAAACAGGAACATTTGACATAAGAGGATGGGGTTGCATCTGCGAACTTGAGGTGGACGCCGGCGTTCCCACTGGCGAGGATCTGTTGTTGAGAGTTGAAAGAGTGGTCTTCTTATCGGTCTAGTACGCTACATGGCCGCAAAATTCTGCACTGTGGATCCTTTGAAACTGGTCTTCGTTGGCCTTCTTCTTGAACTTACGTGGTTCGTTACACTTTAGTTTCTTAATTTCTTTCATCTGCTGCTCGGCCAAATATTTGTTAGCGCGCTTGATTTGACCAACGGTTTCTGTTAACAAATCTTTAAACGAGTCCATTAACTGTTTGTTATTCTCCTAAATGAGATCGGACACTTCGTCTTTGCTGACGGGTATAACGCAAGAAAGAGCCGATAAGAACGTGAAGAAAAACCAAAGAGAGGGTGGTTCGTAAGCCTAGATGACGTACACGTGATATACGCAGCCTTGTATACCCCCGATATGACTACCCATGGCGCACCCGGCCTAGTACCCAGGCCCTGTTGTATCTCGTGCCGTCAAAATATTTATTTCTGTCTTCTTCGCGGGTTCATTCGTCAGAAATAACATTTGATACGTGGCAAACAAGTGATACAAAGGAGAGTGGAAGATCGCGTTTGTTTTTTGCGCTCACACATTGCACACTTACATCTTAGAGGTATTTCCATAACCAACATACCTGTTTCAATGCGGAAGAGGGTGAAGCCACCAGGCAGCCGATATTAAAGACAAACAATCTTCAGTTGCATTGTTCAAAAGATGGCCGGACTACGCTATTCACTAGGTAAACCGCTATTCGGTCAGTGTAAAACGAAGACTGCGGACTGCGGACTGCGGATCAGGGGTAAAATGCAGACTGCGTGTAAAATGCAGACTGAGAGTAAAATGCAGGCTGGGGTAAAATGCAGACCGAGCATAAACTGTAGTCGTGGAAGGGTTGAAGGGCCAAAAAATCCCGCAAATACATTTAATTAAAACGAACACTTACTTGAAGACATCTGCTTTCACAAATCCATTCAGGACTTTCTTCTCTAGAACGTCGTCGACGACCCAAAACATAATCGCAATCTTGAAACTTCTTTCTGTCCGAGAGACCTCACGCTTCAATGAATTAGTACACCACCACGATGTTTACGCTTAAATGAAGGCTGCTGACCCAAAATACACTGTACAGGAAGAATTATGGCGATAAAAAAGGGAGTAAATCATTCCAACAACAATGAAAGATGTTCTGCAGGAAATTTGGGTGACCTTCTATGAAAGTATTGCAAATCAAGGTACACAGACTTAAGCTGTTCGGATGTTCATTGAAACTTCTGGCGAATGTGCAATGCACTTCGACTGGGAAGCGACGTGTAACTGATACCGGCTACCTATTTCACCGATTTGGAGAAGAAGGAGCTCAAGTGTTTAAAAGAAGTCTACAGTCTTTATTCTGCATTTTGCACCCAGCCTGCGTTTTACTCTCAGTCTGCAGTCTGTATTTTACACTCAGTCTGCAGTTTACCCCTGGTCCACAGTCTGCAGTCTGCGTTTTACACTGACCGAATCTCTATTAAGCTCTTAGTGGACAACACAATTGGTTTTCATAATCCATATTCGCTGGGTACTGACTTATCCGGTGCATAGCGTTATTCAACATCATTTGAACAACTAGCACCAGGGCTGTTAGAAGGTTTGGTTACCGTTTGACAGGTTGAGGCTATTTGTAAATTCATGGCACACAGTCGCTTAAGAGTTCTTTAATGACAGTAAATTCAGTTAAATCTTGTAAGACGTATTTTCAGTTCTCCAAAATCGTGGGCGAATTACCGGTAGGGTGAGACACCGAGAAATCGTTGCGTGATAATTATACGTTCGGTAAACTGTTTATTCCCAAATACTTGTCAAACGCGGTTCCCGCAAGGTTGGACAGCGCGCACGGCGCCTGGAAACCAGGAGCAATTAAAAGAATTTCATAGAAACCTTCATTGGAAAGGTGGAACTAAAACTTTTTACAAAATCCCTGTTAGGACAGAAGGGCACTGCGCCAGTTATGGTCACTTTCTTTCAAAGAAAGAGCTTAAACGACGTTGCCAGAAAAACAAAAACAACAACAGCGACAACAACAAAAAGGAATGTGAAAGCATGTTTGGACACAAAAACCCTTCCGTAAAACAATCGAGGTGTTCTCCGTTTCAGAAAGATCCCTGCATTTTGAGGACATCTGCTCCTTACAGTTCCTTACTAGTGGTTACTTTAGACCAGAAGTTAAGATCAGTGGCTTTCCTTTGGATGGTTTATTTTTGATAATGTACAAAATTTCTGCCCGACGAATTACCTTGCTGAGTGAAGGCCAAACAAAACAAAAAATCAAACAAGACAAAAAACCAAAAACGAAACAACACGAAACAAAAAATCACTGCTTACACTGGGTAAAACTTAATATTTAAGTTTCACAATGCAACTTATAAAAAGCACAACATCTTTTTTTAGATGTACAAAATTGACCTGAGTGAAGGCTAAACAAAACAAACAAACCGCTGCTTCGATTGGGTAAACTTAATATTAAAAGCTTTTCTATGTAACTATAAAAAAACACGTTGTAAATAATCTGTTATAACCAGCACTGATGATCATTTCGCGGCGTATGGTAAAACTAGATGACGGTCATGTTTGTTGGAGGTTAAAATCTTACAGCGCAAAATCCAAGTGAAAGTCACTGAGCAGTACATCTCTCTGCATGAATGTCAGGCTGTTTGTTTTTGTACAAATAGTACGACTAAAACGAGGTGAGACATTTCGTCCATCCCAGGCTATATATCGGATTAAAAGTCAAACCAAACAAATAATCAATATCCGCTGCGGAAAAGCTCTCGGACAGTTCAAAGAATGAACAGAATATCTAAAACAATAAAACGTTTAGTTGGCTCTTTGCTATATTTCATCGCCTTCTCGGCCCACGCGGGCTTCTGCTTCTACTTTTGCTTCGACTTCGCTCTCTTCTTGTGTTTCTGGGTGAGCGTGACCGCTGTTTCTGCTGTTCGCGCTCTCGTTTTTCTTTTTCACGTTCTTTCTCACGTTGCTCTTGTCGTTCTTTTCGCTCTTTGTTTTCCTTTTCTATTTCCTCCTGTCGCGCTTTGCGTCTTTCTTCTCTTTCGCGTTCCCGTGTTGCAATCTGAAAACAGACAGAAGCATTGACTATACGTAGGGACCATACTGAGGCTCTGAGGGGCTAAGGAAAATAGGTCCAAAAACTCACTTTCAAAACGAGGCTGTAAGTTCAAAACCTTTCTTGTGAAAGTGACTTTTATTTGCCAGTTTATTAAAAATCATTTTGATAACTATAGCTTCGCCTTTAGCCTCGCTTTGAAACAGAGGCTTGGGCAACTCGGAAATAGCCTATTTTGGGGGATTTTGACACACAATAGAGGTACAGAAAGGCCAACAGGAGGCATGGACGGGCAAAAAATAACAGATTGCTTTCAAGTAACTTAAGTGAAAAGTGTTCATAATGCTTTGATACATGTATGCGACCATGATTCAGTCAAAAAAGATCTTGCTTTTAAAAGCAATATCCACGAAAATAAAATCAATCTCATCCTGATCAACCGGGCACATTATATACCAAAACGTACCTGTTCGTCGCTGAGCGGTAACCAGTATAAACAAGGCGTGGTTTTCGTTTTTCTGAACAGATTATCCAGCAAATTACCAGCGTTCTTTTGATCTTCTTCTTCTTCCTCAACTTCTGCCGCCGGCTTCTCTTCGACAACTTTGGAAAAAAGACACAAGAACACGACTTTATCCAAAAGAATAGTCGCATCACTTTACCACCCACCACATGATCCGATTAGGCTCCATAACCAGTTAGTCTGCTACACAGCCGTTTTTGCGTCCTCTTTGTGTCGTCTTCATTGGGAGGAGCGTGGCGGTTGCGTGACGACACAAAGAACAGCTGTGCAGCAGACTACAGAACCTGCCGCTGTTCAAAAAATGAGCGGCCGCCTGCGCTTCCCCCCAGAACAAGACAGGAACCGAGGAAGCCGCGGAAAGCGAGCCTATAAACCGATTTGCTTGGCAGGTTCCAGCCACAGGAAAAACACATACAAGGACATAACACTGAAGGGCAGTTCTTTAGTGAGGAGCAAACAAAAAATACATGGATAAATTGGACAAATTCAAATTTAAGCTCTATGAAACAGTGGCAAAATAATATTCAAGGTAAAGTAGCTGTTAGCGCGGAGGATAAAAATAAGTTATACCACAGATTTAGCAGGAGACCCTCTTAAAGCTTGTCACGCAGTTGTCTCCAAGACTCGTTAGGAAGGAGTGCGTGACACAACACAATAGGTCTTTAAGCTTACCGTCTCCCTCCGCTGTATTAACCAATCAAAACAGATGCTGCAAGGTAGTTTGTTGTACGCATGTTAAGAATCATTTCTAGGTCACAAACAATCACTGTGTTAGTGTTTGTTTCTCATATCATACCTGGTCGATCCTTCTTCACAACTTTCTCAAGTTTCGACTCTCGTTCCTTTCCCTTTGTTTTGCCCAAGGCTCCCTCAGTATCTCTCGCCATCTGTAGATATACAGAGTTGGAGAACGAAAACTAAGTTCGTAACAAAACATCAGGCACGTATCTTTGAGGATTTTACTTTGCAGACGGGCTTGTTTTGTCTTTAACCGTGGAAGCTAATCTACTATGTAACACGCTCCCCCCCGCCCCAAACCAAAATCAGTTTTTCTTTGCTGGAATGAGTTGATGCGTATCTTGAACACTTCTGAAGTTCGCCTCGATGTTTGGGCCAACTCTTGCTTTATCACATTGTTTCATTGTCGGTCGAAGCCGTTTGAACATTTTTGAAACAAATACAATACAGAATCTAATGGAACTCCCTAAAAATGGCTTTTCAGTGACAATAACCAATTAACTAAACCAATAAATACGTCAAAATGATGACATGTCACAATGATATATGTAAATAGAATAAAAATTAAGCCAAAAATAGTCGCTTAAATAACAAAATATAAAAAAATTTATATACAGAAAATGAACGACACAGCGACTCAAATATAGTTCGCTAGCTTGCTCCAGGCGTTCCGATAGTGGGGACGGCGTTAAGAGATGCCAGAGAAGAAGACAAAGTTAATAGAGGTTAAGAGAGGAAGGCATAGAAAGAACTCTCTCCTCTTTCATTAGCTTCCAATTTTGGACCCTCCCTTCTCAGTTTCGTGCCATTTCTCACAATCTTGCTGAACGGGTGAACCAGGCTAATAGGGAGTTTAAAGGTGATGTTACAAGGGGCAATTCGCAACGACGATTTTTAGCAACATTGTTGCGATATTGTGTAGTGTATTATATAGTGACTCGCATTCATTTTGCATGCAAGTTCCTTTGAAAGGGCAGCGGGCAGCGTTTTCCCATAGTTAGGAGTTTGAGGTCCAGTTCAAACGTCAAACTTTTCATGCACCGAACTTAATACCTATTTGGATCTACCCAAATGATAATATATTTCGACGGTCAATTCAAACGTTAAGCTTAATTAGTCGGACCCAATTCATTTTCAAGATGTACAATGATCTAAAATACTTAACCAGACGAAATAATTTATAGTAATTTATGAATTAGACTTGACACATGAAAAGTTCAACGACTGAAACGAAGAAGCCCCATGGTCGAAATTCCCTAACCTGCGTGGCATTGCGCAAAAAGAGGAGGGTGAGGGGAGAGGGAGAAAAGCGTGAAAGAGGGGAAAAGGGAAGGGGTCCCTTCCCTTCTCTCTTCAATCCCCCTCCCTTTTTACCTTCCTCCCCATCTCCCTTTCGATGCCTGCTGAGCAGGCTGAAATTCCCATGTGGGTCAGTCGAACTTTATTCATGGGTCGAGCCAAATTAGACATATGGGACGTAACTGATTCAAACGTCGATCTTTCCATGTACTTAATTGAAGAGTTGGAAAATTCGACGATTGAACTAGGCCTAATTTCCCATTTTCCCCACAGTTAGTTAACAAGGGTACGTTTGATTGACCGTGTGACGAAATAAGAACACAAGGAAGGTTGGTTACAGATCAGGGTTTTCGGTGGTATTTGGAACTACTACATGCAGAGTTTCAGCTGACAGACTTGCACAGTTCGTACCACAGGAACGAACAAGTGATTTCTAGAAATTATTTCATGATTCATTCTTATTCCGGAATACGGTCAACCAAACGCGCCTCAAGAAGAACACGAGAGTTATGCGTGAACATGTACTAACCTCGTCATTATCAGCAAAATCAACTGCGAGAATCTTTGGACTTGTTGTTGGCCACTTGATACCATGTAGAGCTTGTCTGCTAGCTGCAGCCTCTTCAACACTGTTGTACTGTGAGAAAGACAAAATAATTAAGGTGCCTATTAATCAACAACAAGCGGCACAATTTTAAGTGCCCATAACGTAATTTTTTTTTAATTGAAGTAAACATTAAGGCGTGTTTAGCCGAGCGGTAACGTCCGGAGTTCGAGCCTCGCCCGTCGCGTTGTTTCCTTAGACAAGGAACTTTACTTAACTTTGTCTTTCTTCAACCCAGGTGTATAAATGGCTACCGGCGACATTTTTAGATATGATATGTAAAAAGTTTTTTGAGTTTATATTGTAACTTAGGATATGTAATTTTACAGAAATAAAGATTATTATTATTATTATATTATTATTATCAAGAGACTATAAAGGGGACAGAGAGGGCATCCCCCATATACACCCTATTCCATAGGTAATTCGTCTCGAGTTATTTTTAACACCACAGATCTCGAGGGGGATTAGACAACAGCCAATCACATAGCGCGAATGTGTTCCGCGTGGATGACCCACGCTGAGAGCCACGCGTCCTTCGCGAAATGACGCAGAACAAAATGGGGGGAGAAGCGGAGAGCGATTTTGCTATTCCTTTTGTCGACGAAAACGACTACAGCGAGATTTCTGCAAAGGCTGTGTCAGCGAAACCGAAATTAAAAAAGAATCGCCCTTCCTCTCTTGTATAGAGCTAGCAGTAGAGCAGGGAAATCCTTAACACACTGAATATTCTCTCAGGATCATTTACAATTTACAGTTTGAAGAGAGCAATTTCTGGTTTGATGTTTATTTTTTTTTCAGTCTTTATAGCGATTATTCCTACCCACGTACTTTGTCAATTGTAGGCGAACCCTCCTAAAGCTGAATTTCAAGGGACCATATTCAAGCTCAGAAAGAGAAATAAAATTTCGTCGTTGCTTATTTACGTCCTCCATAAAACGCGAAATTAGGCATTTTCACGTCGTAGTCGTGCAAAAACGGGAAAGAAATGAACAAAAAAGTGTGTTGCACGTGCGAAGTTGTTGTTTTGCTAATTAAACCTATTGTTTTTTTGACGTTCTAGGTGTCGTCCGCGTCGTTGGATCTTAAACTCCCTAAATTGTACAAACGACCGGTTTCAATAAACCGGCGAAATTTCTCATTTTATTAAAGCACTGAGGTTACGACAACTTCGCGTTAAACTGATTTCACGGGTTGTCAAAGAGTCCAGCGATTCCTTTTTCCCAGGTGAGCGCCGACTCATTTCGCTTCAATATTCAGGAATGCTAGCGATCTTTTTAGGCTTTCATTGCCTCTCGCCCGACATGTTTTGCACGGCGTTTGGTCATGCGAAACCTCCACGAAACATCCACGCCTCGCGCGAGGTAACTAAATCCCGATTCTAAAAATAACTCGAGACGAATTACCTATGGAATAGGGTGTATATGGGGGATGCCCTCTCTGTCCCCTTTATAGTCTCTTGATTATTATTTATTGCTGGGGGGTAACCCTGCGATGGACTAGCATCCCGTCCAGGGGGGAGTAGCAATACTCCTAAGCATGCTTCATGCTAAGGAAACCGGGATAAGTTCTGGTCGTTTGGGCCTTTGCTTCGTGTGCGACTTAAACTTTTACCTTACACATTTAATACTACAAGAGCCCCTGCGAAAAATGTTTGCCATTCGAACACAATGGCATCGTTTTAGATATTTTGGCACATCTCATCAGGAGAGGCTCATATGTGTCTACATGAGACATAAATCCAGGAACTGAAAAATGGGATTTGTAACATAGCGCGCGTGCTTGCCCTATAAAAGTCCATTGAGCCGCTATAAAAAAAAATCTTTTAAAACTAAATCATTGGATAATGCAATTCTAGAGCTCTGATTGGCTTAGCCATCATGGTATATGAGCCGTTATACCATGCTCTCCAAATATGGTAACTGTACGTGTCTAAGCAAAATTAAAAACAAGATGAAAATCGTTTGTTTTTACAAATAATATCGAAGAGAGTTGTCGATATTTTGTGGCCCTTTTTTAAATAAAACAATTATTCCACTGGCGCTTGTTGGATATGAGATGATTATAGTCAACTCATACCCATCGCGCACTCGTGGAAAAAATGTTAAATATTTACGCAAGCCCGTGCGTATATATATAAATAAATAAGATGACGTGTACCGTTTTGTTCATGAAATTCGCATTTTCGTCTCTTTTTCTCAATTAGTCTCTTACAACCGAAGAAAATGATGAAGAACTTGCTAGCATTTTTTGAATTGAGCTTCTAGCCACCAACAGCAAAACCGGTGAAGATGTTCCGTAAATTAGTGCCTGAGTCGCTAAAAGGTCTGGCGTGAAGACTGAAATTCAGCTAGAACAAAATCATGATTCTGGCTTCTTTTCAACCTTTCGACGGATTTTCGCTAACTGGTTCCATTCAAAAGTTGAAAAACCCTTGGAGGGGTCTATTATTGTGAAGAAGTGAGAACAAACAATATGTAAAAATGAAAATATCAGCGAACGTAAGGCTTTTTTTTCGCACACTTCTTACCACAACGTAGCAATGTGACTTAATCTTGTCAATCCAAAATCCATCCTCAGCCAGTGATCCATGTTTTCCCAAGAGCTCTTTAAGCTGGTTCAGGGTGAACGGTCGCACAAGGTTCTTCACGTGTAGTACCTCGCTCTCCGGGTGTGTTGAGGGTGATGGTGATCGTTCAGCTCGTATGGGTGAAGTTTCTCGAAGAGGTGCTGATGTTCGTCGTGGATGAGGATTATCACTTATTGGAGTTTCAGCTTCTAAACATGGCAAACATACAGGTAAAAGGCAGTCAAAAACTGAGGACGGTATAGAAGAAGGACACACAACAGTTTAGTCGCGTTAGAATTAACCTGTAAAAGTTCTACGGCAAATAGCAGGAGAAACACAAAACTCTACCCCACAGTTGTTCTAGTACAGTGCTGAGGACTCCAATACTTTCACTTGACAATTTTAATTCATTCAGCAATTTTGGAAAATAACTGTATTAATGTTGAAATGAAAACAATTACACAGTTAGCTTAACATTGACAAAAAGTTTAAAGCTCGTTTAGCCAGTAATTCAAATTTAACGAATGGTTATCAAAACCTCCGAGAATTTTAGATATCAGATTTTTTTTTCTTCTTACTCGTCACCGAGCACAGACAATGTACATGTAACTGCAAACTGTTGTGCCTATTTTGTTGACAGTTAACTTGGTTTTACAAAGTAACCTTAATTATGGGGCGAAAGAAAACCGGACGTTAGATTACATTGGTAATGGGTGCAATATCAAGAAATGAGGAAATAGAGACTACAACACTTGATATAAATATGTTGCATTCAACGTAGTGATAATGCCAATTGCATGTAAAAGATTAGACCAGTCATCAACACATCCTTATAGTACAACAACTCTGGTTGAGACGTAGTAGAGTTATAAAAACACATTCGAAAAAATAATAATCAAATCAAATAAAATAAATACAACTTTAATTTTCAGTCACGCTTCCTTGTTGGCTGAATGATTTGCAAAAGGCCTTCCTTGTGTATTTGACAATGAAATTAACTTTTTGCATCAAAATTTGACCAACAAGGAAACTTTGCTGAAATTGCAATGTTTACTGGCAATAAAAATCACTGCATGTAAAATACTCCTCTGCATACAGCGCTAGCTAGTACAACACTGTCAAATGGTTTGCGGCTCAAACACAGGAAAAGATGTGGTACGCACAGCCACAGACGACCCTGATGGCTTCTGAACATCATCAAGTAAATTTCAATATCATCACCAACAGCAAATCCCAGGCTAACATTCAGCCACTGAGTCAATAGCATACAAGCGTCTCTTGGTCACCTCTAATGATTATCATATTTCAGGAATAGTCAACTTTGAACACTATGCAGCCCTCGAGTCATTTATATGACACAATGACATTGTTCTCACAGCATTTTGTCCTGATCTTAACAGTGCAGTATTTGAATGGACTTCAATTTGCTTGTGACAAGGTTGACACACGGAAGTGTCTTTCAAAGTAGTTTTGTGTGGTTGCTTGTCATTTCTTACTCCATTTATGTTCTTGCACGTGACCGAAAGAAGAGGGATAAAAGTCGCACTGTAATTAAATCCCGCAGACAATAATCACAACCTTTTCTTGTCCAGTAGATTCATCGATACTTTTCATTCCACATCATCCGAATATTTTCTGGTTCAACAGTGTCAGTTTTTGTCTGAAGACGTCTTATAAGGTTCACATTTTCCTTGATTTGAAGACTATTTCAATGTTGGAAATGTACATGTAAGAACTCGAATCGTTACGGTTGTTGCAAATGTAGATCAAAATCAGAGCTGTTCCTTTCCACTTCAAGTTTTCACTGTGTTTTCCCTGTGCTATAAATCATTCCTGTCTCTTACCTAATCATTTACCAGCAAATGTCTGGAATAAAGAATACAAGTATATTCATCTTCCCATCCAAGGCAGAAAAACAATCGTCTTTTTGTTGGTATTGCCATCAGTAACCACAGCAACAGTGTAGCTGTGGTTGCATTTCAGGCAAGGTAGACAGACATTGCAGTTCTGTAAGATATAACTTTGTTGAGTATTGTTGCATTCACAAAGCTTTCTTTTAATAAGTCCATACAGTGAGTTGTTGCAGCACTGTCACAGTCTAGAGATGTAAAACACATTGTGGCACAAGCAAATATGTGTTGTTTTCAGTATTTGGTATCACAAAAGAGTGGCCAGGAAATGAAACAGTCTTGCCACTTCTTGGTTGGTTCAGACATCACGATCCTTCATTCTTTTGCTGTGCTTACTCTGAATTCAGGAATGCCATTGAGTTAGGCACAACATGCTGTTCTGGAAGAACGTTTCTGTTTTCTTTTCTTGGTTATTTCTTTCTTCTCTTTGCTTTGTTGCATTTCAAATTTAAGTCAGTGTATCACTCTCAGGATACTCTCATTTTGTTTCCTGTTGTGTGTCAATGAGTCCTTGGTTAGTTCATTGATGTTTTCAGTGGTGTTCATTTTCATTCCAGTTGAGTGAGTCATCTGAGACAAGACAGTGTCCTGGGTTTAAACACCATTTGCTTTGTTTTTGGTTGCAAAACCCAGTTTCAGGAGTTGACAAATGTTCTTTGCTAAAAGAAATCTTCTAGTTTGGCAAACCCACCACGTATGAACAGGTTGTCATAAACATATCTCATTACTCTGTGGTCTTTCAAAACTCGCATGCCATCTGACCATAGCATTGTCCACATTGCATCTTTCCATATTTTCTAATCAGATCACCCAGCTGGGTGTAACCCATAGAAAACCTCCCACACCGCATGCTGTCGGCACAGAAAAGGGATCATCATGTACAGGGAGAGAGAGCTCATAAGGGACTTTACACTTGTAGCTGCTACGGCTGCTGCTGTGTGCACAAGGTTAGATATAAAACAAGGATGCTCAGAGAAAAGACAACTGTTGTTAGATAACTATCAAATGACCTTGCACAATAAGTTTATACTCTAGCTGCAGTGCACGTTGCAGGAGGAGACTTTAAGATCAAGTTATCACCTTCATAAATTTGAGAGTTATGGTGTGCACATTTGATATCATTTTAACTTTTGAGTCCATGAACGGAATCTTACAGTGTGACCTTTCAAAAGAAACATCTTGGACAGACCTTTTGTGTGGTAATTATTATTATTGATTTTAGTCTGCTCAAAATTCAAATCAGGATTCTTCTTATTTTTCACCCTTGAAATTGAGAGTGGTGATCTAACGAAAGAGATGCAAATCTGCTACTGCTACTGAAAGATAAAATATGAAACCTGCCAGCAAAGAACTTAATAATAAGTCTCCTCTACGCTATTCTGATGGTAATTAGGCCATTGCCAACTGCAACGTAAACTGCAGCTACAGTTAGGGTGCTCTGAAAGAATGGCAATGATCTGAAGGCCTTCCCTACATTTCATCTCTTGTGAGCTGTGCTAAAAAAAACAAGGTCCAGGTTTACATAAGTCATTGTATCTTGCCAACCCATTTCCAAACCGCAAGTTAATGACTTTGTTTACAGAAATGCAAGGAAGGCCTATTTCACAGTCACGTGAACTTGTCAATTTGGTAGGATGTACAGCTGTAGAAGGTCATTTGAAAGTCAAAATTATGATTAATAATGTCATTAATTCACACGCACACATCAACAAACAGTAATGGGACAAAAGAAGCAGTTGAGTAAAATAATACAAACACAACAGATTATCCCAGCTGTGTACAACAGTACCTTCTTCAACCTCCATTTTGATAGTTTCCTGTTCCTTTTCAATTACAATAGGTTTTCTCTGTAGCTTTATGGTCTTCTTTTCCTCTACTTTCACAATCCTTTCTTTCCGCTTTTTGTTCTCAGGCTCTGGGGTTTCAGGTGTCTTTACAGGCGCTGGATCTTTCTCCTCCTCTACTTTCTCTTCCGTCTTTTTCTCTTCATCCTCTATCTCCTTCTCATCATCATCATCCCCTCCAAGATCCATGACTGCTTCCAGTGCTGGAGTGCTGTGCACCTGTACTCCTGGAATGAGGTCCTAGAGAATGAACAAACACAACTGAACAAAGGCTACCTTGACAGGTTACAAGACAAAGTTTTGACTAGTTGAAAATTCATGCGTTTAGGACCTCCAATCATAGGAAACCATGCTGACCCTACAAAAATTTAGATGCTTAGCCTTTGAAAGATTTGAATGCTAAAATCAAGGTCAAATTTTCACCACGCGTGGTTGAAAATTTAACCAATGAAGTATGAACACCTTGACTGTCTAAATTCTTCTGTGGCAATGACATGGTTACGTAGATACATGGTAACTCAGCTGGGAGATGCCGATGTGGATTTGAAGTGTTTGCACATGGGTAGCTAGTAAAAGGCAAAATTCAACCTTGTTAGCCTGTTCTGTGTGGCTTTTTTGCAGTAAGCAAACATACTGTTGAAAATTCTCTTAATGATTTCTTCTTTAGTTGGCAGAAATCATGTATGTGAAAAACATCCACTTTCCTAGTGGATTCTTTTGTGACTTAAAAAATGTCTTCCATAACAAAACAATTTATTTCTTTCACCACAACAAAGCAACCTTCAAACAACATCTGGTCTATCTGTGGCTACTATGCAGCTCAGAGCTCGACATTTCAAAATACCAGTCCCTGAAAAATCACTTTTTAAAATGTTACATGGTATCTTTTTGTCCCCGGCTACTTGGATGAAAAAAAAAACCAAACCAACAAACAAACAAAAACAAAAAAACAACAAAAAAACTCTCCAACCCAACAAATAAACTTACTGTTGTAGAATGCTTTACCTTTAAAGAATCTGTGCTTATAGAAAGGGACGTTTTCTTCTTGCTTGAAGATGAACCCCATCTTCTTTTCCTTGATCCTGGTTGTCCATCAGAAGTTGGTGTGCTGGGTAAGGATGTTCCTTGATACACAACAACACAGTGCAGCAGTAAGCCAACATTAAGTCCACTTGAGATGAAAGGCACTGAGATGTCTATCTACTTTTAATTAACAACTTTGAGGGAGACAAGTGTACTGGCTACATGATTTCCTAGGTTATACAATGTACCACTACATCAGAAATTTCTGCAATTTGATTGGCTTAGAGCAATGGTATTTCAGCTTGATTCAAAATACCTACACGTGAAAATTACAAACCTTTTGTGGGTAGTAGTATAAACAAATAATAGCATGAATTGCACGTGATACAGTGTACGTGGCATAAAATACCACCCGTAATATTTCAAAATTGTCTCAAAGTTCACTCGCCTAATGGCTCGTGAAATTATGTAGAACAATTTCAAAATAATTATCACTCGTGGTATTTAAGCCAAATACCACTACAAATCATGCTATTACCTATACAAATTTTAAAACAAAGCAAACATACACTGTACAGTACTGACTGAATGATACCTGTATTTTCATTAATTTGTCAGTGTCTCAGAGATAAATAATTTACAGTCATATCTCTCTAAACCCTAAAACCTAAATATTATCCACATACACTATTTGCAAATTCCCTACAAGGCTGCTACTTAGTAAATTTTTTTAGGAACCTTAAAAATAAAAAGTTAGGAGCCTGAGCCACATGTCTAGGAGCCCACTGATCGATAACCTTAAATAAGGAGGCAGATGCTCAAAACTCAATTCATGCATCTCGAAACTTGATTCATTCGAGTTTCGAATTTTTACAAAAGTGCTTGTTGGTTTACCTTTATCAGCGGAAATTTTTTGCCTGTGGTCAACGAACCCACGTTTTACGTTTTCATTTCAAGAGCGCAAAATGAGGATGGAACTCTGTCAGTCCTTCATTGGAAGTACATGTAAGCATACAGGCTATTGACATAAGAATCATAAGTTTAAGGTGCCTGTGCTGGCTCCTTGTTTAAAATTTTAGTTGCCCGAGAGCAAACCATAGGAGTCTCTGGTGACCGGGCACCCATTAGGCAGCAGCCTTGCTCCAGACTGAAATTCAAGGACTGACTTTAAAGGGACTTGCTTAGGATGCCATTGAGCCACTCCTTAGAATGAATGTAATGACTTACTTGGAATAGATATTTTCCTTTTCTTGGTAACGATGGGGGAAGTTGATTTCTAAAAAAAAGTGAACGGCTTTTGTCACAATCAATCAGTATGTATAGATTAAGTAAAGGATGCATTTGAAACACACCTTACCTGTTTACAAAGAGGCCTGTCTTTGCCAAGGAAGGCATAAGACTTACATGTACACTGCATATGTCATCTTTTAGACATTACCTAATTAACTAATTGAAACATGAGAAAACCCATCTGTGCCCATGCACAGTATGACTGTATCCATTGTGGTTAAATTTTATCCTTGATTTAACTAAATAATTATTTTCATTTTTTTAGTTTCAAGCTCATTATAAACATTGCTTGCCTAGTTGTTGCTGAAGTTTACTTGTGTGGAGCAGTCATATCATGCAGCAAGCTTGTCAATCCCACTTTCCACTTAAACATTTACTTTTTCTTGGCAAATGTTGCATGCCTCATTGTTGGGCAACTTGTAAAACTAACATGCTAGCCTAAAGGGTGACTCCACTACAATGTAATTCCAGGCTTTTATAAAGACCTGACACTATAAGCAAACAATTTGCAAAATTTACTGTAAAATCATCTAATGCGCATGCCCAGAATTGATTCCTTAACTTTTTGTTCACGAATTATTGGATAAAAGAGACACGTTTAGACACAACTTGTAAGTATTTTCATAAAAATTAACTCACTGGTGGCGAGGGGACTTTAGGTTCCTCCACAACTGCTTTGTCCTCCTCACTCGGCTCCACTTCAAATGTATTTTCCTCGTCTGGTGATGGCTGTTGTTGCATTGTCTCATCAGGTGGTTCATTCTCCTTCTCATCCTCAGCCTCCTTTTCTTTTTCTTCTGGTAGTGTGTTTTCTTCTTCATCCTCTTCTTTTACTTCCACTTCTTCCTCTTTGCTCTCAACTGGTGGTCTCATTTCCTCATCTGCCAATGTCTTTTTCACAATCGAGTTCTCCTCAGCTTCATTTTCCAGTGTTGCCTTTTCCGTACTATCTTCTTGACTCTCCACATTATATGGAGATTCTTCTGTATTCTTTTCCTCAATTGCAGGCTTTTGTTCTACCGGAAATTCATCATTTAACAATGATTTTCGTTGTTCCTGTTCATGATCGTCTGTGTCCGCACTTGACGAACTTGACGACTGTTGTGCCGAGTCTGAGGCTGATGAGCTTGGTGAATCTGCCTCGGGTTCAACATGTGGTTGAGTTTCTTCACTGGGTGGATGCGTCAGAGGTGCAGGTTCAGGAATTGAAGTCATTTGATTTATAAGTCTTTGGTTTTCTTGTGGATGGTGATACAGCATTTGAGGCTGTGGTATCTGGCTTGGCGGCATTTGGGCTTGCTGCACTTGGGATTGCAACATTTGGACTGGCGGCATTTGGGGCTGTGGCACCTGGGAATGTAGTACTTGGGCTTGAGGAATCTGGGATTGTGTTCCATGCAATTGGGTTTGTGGCATTTGGGCTTGGGGCCACTGCTCTCTGAATTCCTTAACTTGCACTGGAGAGGTAATTTGCTACAAAGTAAGAAGAACACAACCGTAAAGATACAAACAAAAACCAAGGTAGACCTTTTTATTGATGGCAAGCAAAATTGTTGCACGACTAGCTCAGTTGGTAGATAGCTTGACTCAGCTTATGAATTTGGTCCTCTGTGCTGAGAGAATACTCAGGGTAAACAATTAAGTGAGAAATAGAGGGATTGCCTATGCCTATGCAGGGTTGTCACTAAGATTTCAAGTTACTGGGTAAATATAACAAGTAGGCAGGGAATCAAACCGCTAGGGATTTATCTTGGTTCTATTTTTCTTTTGTTTTCAAATGAAAGCAGCCGGGGGCCACATTCATAGTAGCTGGGGGAGATCCCTGGCCCCCGGCCCCCGGCTTTTAATGACAGCCGTGCCTATGTAACTTGACTTCACTTACAAGTTTGGTCTTCTTCACCAAACTAATACTCAAGGTAAAGAACTACACAAGCTGCAAGTGGCTAGTTGGATGGTTCGACCATGTAGCTCCATGGCCTGAATGACAAAATATATGTAGCTCCATGGATTGGATGACTATGTTTGAAAAAAACGTCTTAGGAGGAGAAAACATTAGCTGAAAAACAAAGTCCAACATTTTTGTCAATGCTAACAGCGTAAGCAGCAGCATCATACCTGTTGCTGGTTGATCATCAATTGATGTTGATTCATCATAACATGTGGCTGATTATGCATTCCTTGTGGTTGGTTTAATAAACTTTGCTGCTGAATTCCCATTGATTGCACTTGGAAGCCATCTTAAAAAGTTGCAGGCCACAAATTAGTATTATACATGTAAGTTTAAATAAATTATTAACTTTTTAATTTAATTAATTAAATTTATGAGGAGGATAGAAAATTATTTGAAACACCATCCCTGTGAAGTGTACATCGTAGTTTTTCGTTTTGTTCCCTGGTTTTCTTAACAGATTAAACTTCATTTTTCTTTATTTCCTAATGAGATTTCACATGTAAAGCAGTATGGTTGAAGAGTCTGAGACCATGGGTACCAATAACATGATATTTTGGGACTCTTTAAGTTATTTCAAAAACATGTTGGACCATTGTATTGTCCATCATCATAATAATAATAATAATAATAATAATAATAATAATAATTATGGAGTGTGCCAGGGCCTGACAAAATCACTAACTTTTGGTGGAAACCTGCTGGCTCTCTGCACAATGGTGTGGTCGGATAAAAAAATTCTTGGGCGATTTCAAGAATCAATGGTAAAGCTTTACCGTGAAAAACAAGCGAACAAATTATTACCTCTACCTGTAGACTGTTGCATATTAAAATTCGCTTTCTGAAGGATCGGCACTTCCATATTTATGTAAAACATGCTTTTAATAAAGTCACTTCATCCACTGCACCACATTGAAAACTACCTGTTTTTAAAAAACTTTGAGATGATAGCTTTGCTTGTAACTGCCTGCAGGTTTTGTTAAACTTTTCAAGCTGAAATGAATCATAGACCGATCGGCAAGGCTTCCAAGATACTGTCATACCTTTTGGCTTCTTTTGGACAAACAGATATGCCAGCGAACTCTACTGGAAAAAATCTACGTTGGATATAGAAACCTGTCATTTCATGGAGCTCCTTTTAAGTTTAAGCCAGTGAGTTCATTGATGCGCCAAAAAGAGTATCAAATGTTTCTCGAGAGATCAGTCAAGTGACAAGCTCATTGTACATTGTATTTCTTGGGTTGACTTGCAATTTTTGCAACTTGAGTATCGAGTCTTGAAGATCAAGACACGAGTGACTGCCGACTTACTTTTAAGGTTGTACTGTAAATAACCAGTGGATAGTGATTTAGGATATATAGGGCTATCCAGCTTTTCAACAACTACATTTGTAAGGCCTGGTTAATAGTAAGTTATGCAAAAGCAATCTATAGCTTTTCCAAAATAATGCAACATAAATAACATACCTGGGCGTTGTTGTTGTTGCTGCTGCTGCATCAGAGCATGTGGCCAAGCATTTGCCACCGGCTGCTGGTGTGTTTGCTGTGGAACAGAAAAACTGTCATAACCTTCTTTCTGCTCAAGCTCCTTGTCAATGGCCTGAAAATAAAAGCGAAAAATACAAGTACTGCAATGTACATCATAAGTGTTTTTAATTAGTTTTGTAAGACGCAAGCTACCACCATAAGTGTATAGACACCCACTTTTGCCTTGATTAGATAATAACTTATAATTACATCATGTACACTATACCTATTATTATTAAACATGAAATATTGATCATTATCAACTCTAGAGGCTGTATGGGTGTGTTTCTTTGGGATGATCCGGATCAGGATCAGCTCATCTCAGTGATTTTGCTACCTCTGCAACCTGCGTCTCTGACGCATAAAAATTTTGCAAAATAATTTGTGACATGTGTCCCGTAGGATGCAAAGATCAAGTGATCAATCTGAAGATGATTTTGTAGAATATCGTGTTTTGTAGCTGTTGTTTAATGGCACATATTTCTTTTAGTCTTTGTTGTGCTTGACAACAGAAGGAGTATATTTTTATTTCAGTAAACTGTATTCAGTAATACAGAGTTTTGGAGTCTGTCTTTGGATTAACTGAGTAGTTACATAAAGACCCAGGCACTCATGTTTTTTAACTGGGACACATGATTTTTCACAAGATGAGTCCCAGGACTCACCATAACTATTTGTAAGACCACTTGGATGACAGAATATATATGGCAAGAATCCACAAACCCACCGTAACAAAGGATTCATTTGTTCATTTCATGTACCATGATCGGAGTGATCTAGGATCTCTGATCCTGATCTGGATCATCCCAAAGAAACTCACTCTATGATCTACACCCAGGTCCTGAAAGACTGATTAGTCCTGATCCAGGATTAAAAACTATAATCAACAATATAGATTGGTTTAATGTTGGACTCGAGAAATTGCTGATTGTCAGTCTTTCATCTGAGATTACCCAGGGTACTCAAGTACCTTTGCAAGGGCTTTTAGGAATTTACAGCATCTCTGTTGAGGTTTGGCCATAAGGTTTGCATTGATTTTTAATGCTTGTGTTCATGAATAGTTCTGCTCACTATTGCACCCTCCCTTATGTAAGTAGATGGTGCCTGGGCAGATGCCCCTCAAACAGTTATCATAGTTACATGCCGCACTCAGCTGCAGTTCTTAATTTACAAAAGCCTCTCCAGCACCTTCCCCAAGCTTATCTGGATCATTATACATTTCAGGGAAGCAGCCCACCTACCGCCTCCTCCCTCCTAAGCCAACATTAACAATTACGTCTCACTTAGGGCAAAATGCTGCTTAGGGGAGGGGTACTTAGGTGGGTAGTTTTCTAGAAACGGATATTGATCCGCTTATCTTTGTTGATGAGTTTAAAATATCATTTGTGCTAACAGATCTGGATCTCGGGATAAAGGATCAACTCTATTCTCAATTTTTAAACTCTAATTGCACAATGCTATACAAAAAAGGTAAAATTTCCGTACAGCCCCATACATCTATTATGCATGAATCAATCTCATATTTCACACAAATAGATTAGAGTGAGAAGTGTCGAAACATTTAATGGGCTGAGCGGAGACCTTACCCAAAGCACTTCTGCTAGCATGGCAGTGATGACATTAATAAAGCTTATAAGAAATCAAACCGCTTTACTTCAATTAAGACAGCCGATCTAACTAGCTAGTTACAACGTTAAAATATGAATAATCTGAGTTTTACAGTAAATGATGCGAGTTACAAAGGATAGCTAGTTTCTAGCCATACAAACAGTTGTTTAACTGGAATCTGATAAACACACAAACAACGAACAAACACAAAATGCAAAATTATACAACAAAGAAAACCGTTCAGTCAATAGTACGAGTTACTTAGCGATCTAGTACATAACACAAACAAAACTACCTCTTGTAGTCTTTCAATAAGGATTCCTTTGTTACCACTTTTTCTGAGGCCTCGCCTTTCCAGCTCCACTTTGAGTTCATCGACCTTGAGCTGGGAAAGCCTTCGACCGCCGATCATTATTTCACGCTCCGCCATCTTGAATTTTGAACCGCGTGAAGCAACATCCGGGAACGTTAGGAGTTATAAGGACTTCTCTGATTGGCTCTAAAACATTGACCAATCACTGTAGCGATTATAAATGCATAGCAACAAATCCCAGACATCTTTGCGGGCCGATTCAATATGGCCGACGTAGGAGGGGGGGAGTGTAAGAGTTTTCGAGAGATCTAACAAAGTTCTTGCCGATTACCTTCCCAAGAAAATGGCTGAAGGGATTGCTGATTGTATGCCTTTAGCACTGCGATCTGTTGGAGATGCTATAAGGCATGATTCGGAAAACAGGACAAAGGTTTGACATTAATTAATTCTTGCACTGATAAAGAGCACGCTTTATTAGGATTAAACTTGATAATTATCTTTATACGACAAAGTTAATAAAAATAAACTAATTTACATTATTTAAAGGTATAGTAAAAGTTTACTTTAAAGATCTATTCGTTTGAACTCAGATCAGTCTAAGCTACATGTGCGTATAAGCAACTGTAATTGTAAAATGTCGCAACGTTCTATCGCGATCGAATGGACAGTAAAATTTATAAGTTGATGAATGAATGACGTCACACAGGGCTGCAAATAACGGACAGCAGGTTGCCGGTCATGTTGACCGGCCAAATATTTTTTAGCCTGGACAAACCCTGATTCTGGCCGGTCAAATAATGAATACTAATAATTTTTTTTGCCTAAGGAATATCCAATTATGCTGGCAATAGATCGTTATTACTACATTGACGTTCACATTTTTGACAGGAAATTGGTGAAAAATGCATTTGCACGTTGTAGAGTTCCTTCCCGTGGTTTTCGCGCGTTTTAATGTTACGTTCTACCTTGAGTATCATTGCAGGGCGGTGTCTGAAGTCTCTACAGGAAAAAGTGAAGTGTAAATCCTTTCCAAACTCCCAAGGTTCAGGAAACGGAATACACATTCAGTTCAGGAAACTTTGGAAATTACGAAAAAAAAAGAAAAAAAAATTAAATGGGTTATTTTATAAAATCTGCACACACTTGTTTTACGTTGATGTTCCGAAATGAACATCGGTGAAACTTGATATTTTTCCTTTTGCCTGGCATGTGATCGAAAGTCACTTCCTCAAAGAAGAATCGTCGCTGATATTTTCGGCAAAGAAGTTGATTTGCATTAGCGAGAAGTTTGTTCCACAAACAGCGCGTTGATGATCAGAAGTCAATAAATAAATTTGAGTCATCGCGCAACATTTCATCGCAAAGGGCTCAAATGTCAACAGAAATTTGCATAAAGTTGTTTACAAGAACGAGAATCTATTGCCGCGATAGACGATGGCCTTCCCTCTTGAGTAGCTTAAATTTTTTATCAGACCATTCTGGAATTGATTCTGCAAACGAGATTCATGTGCGACATGAAAGAAATTATAATTAATCGATGCGCTAGCATTTATTCCCGGAGAAACACAGGACGACCTGTTGAGAATTGCGATCGATTTGCCTGAATTCCTTCGAATTCCCAAAGAAGGTCACATTGCTGATTACAGCAAAGCCGAAAGTACAGTACGACTTGCAACGTTGCGTTACTTTCCAACTCAGTTTGTTATTCACTTTGTTGCGTTAGATTACGGCATGACAACATGAAATTAATTTATTGCGGCGTTCTTTTTCTTAGGGTTTAGTGCAAAGCAGCAAAAAACGCCAAAGAAAAAAGAAATCATTGCAGCGTTATAGAGCATTAAGTGACAACTGTATGGAAAATAAAGTGTTTGTATCCAAAAATGACCGGTCAAAATGACGGGTCAAAATGACCGGCAAGACCGGAGTTTGACCGGTCAAGTCCGCGATCAGGCCGGACATTGTCCGTTGACCGGCCGTTATTTGCAGCCCTGGTCACACGTGTATTCTTTGACCCAGGTTTTTTGAAATAAACTTCCTTTAATAAAATGGAATCTATTGTTGTGATTGCAAGTTCCAAAATCACAAGCAGGTATAATCATAGTGGGCACACTAATACAGACGTTTACATATAATTGTTGTAGGTAACATTCATTCTCAGATTAAACTAGAATTTCCTTTGTCTTCTATGAACAATTAGGCTAGGAAACAGAGGAAGTTCTTAATCAAACTATATTGAATACATGTACCGGTACTTGCTTAACCTGAGAACATAGAAACTCTCTAGGTTAAATGGAGAAAAAATCAATATTAAAGTTTTGTTCATTTCCTGAACCAGGAAGCATACTGCCAGTACTTGAGTTCTATGATGTACATCTCACAAGTCCTAAAAGATGATGCTTGGGATAAAGGTATGATCTTTAATGCTTTGTCAGTAAACAAGAAGGCTTTCAAATTTTAAAACCATGTTTTTATGTTACCTTCCATTCTGAGATTTTGAAGGTTATAAATAGTTTATAATTTTTTTTTCTACAATACAATTCTTTGCCTTAAAATAAATCAGAAAAATGATTGTATATATTGAAATGCTGGTACACATATACTGGTACACTTACAGTGTAATGTCTTGGGCAATGTGCATTTCAAGAATATCATATTTACTTGATGTTTAAATTGTTATTCTTCTTAGATTTGAGGCAGGTGTATAACAGTGATACGGCCAAGTTATTTCGATTACTTCAACAGTGCCAGGAAAGAGCTCTGACGATTGTTTCTACACTTGGTATGTAACTTTCAGTGAGCTTGGTTGGCAGCACATAAGAATTTGGTCAGACCAGAAATGCTGCACACTTACGTTACAAAAAAAAATAAAAATGCCAAGGTTGCAGGGCTGAAGTGTAGAGACATAGTTTATAACATGTAGATGCATGAGAAATAAAAATTAACTAAGGTCTATTTCAGAGTGAATAATAAAAAAAATTAATACTTAGATTGTATATGTGTTAGAATGCCTGTAAAATTATAAGGGTTTGACTTGGAAAAAATTGCAGCAGGGCTGTGGCTAAGATTTCAAGTTGCTGGGTTTATATATGTATACTGCTATGGTGGCCATATTGAATTTATTAGATTTGAGGAGTATAACGGAATGCCCAGGGGCCATGAACATGATCCGATATATTCGCTCAGTATTTACGTGCGCTTTTCGGGCCAATGTTTATTTAACTTCTCCTAGAAAAAGATTGTAATCGGAAAAAAAAGATTGTTGTGCCATGTTTGGATGTAACAATGATTGCCTTTTTCCCAAGAAATATACAGTGAAGTTCTCTTTTTGCCCAAAAAGTGTGCATAAATACTGAGGGAGTGCCCCCCTGGGCACCCCATAATACTCCTTAAATGTAATAAATTCAATATGTAAAAAGGTCTATTGGTAAGCGGGGAATGGTACAACTGTGGAATCTGGTCTTATCTTCCTTTAAAAGTAGCTAGGGGTGATGTCCATAGTAGGGGTGGATTGGGGAGGAGGGGGATCCTCAGCCCCAGTTCCTTGTGACAGATTTGTTGGCTGGTTTTTCGAGGTGTGTGACATGGTCCAACTACTTTTTCTATTGAGCAATTACAAAATAATATATCATGATATTATTTTTTGCACAAATCGGTCAAACCACTATAAAACCTCACCGTTAAGAGTTAGATACCTACAAATTTATCAGCAGAGCCACTATGTTAAAATACACTTTCTAACTCAGGTATTTTGCAAGTTATATCTCATAATTCTGGTATAAGAAAGCTTACATGTACTTGACCACAGCTGCTAAGGGTCTGTTGACTGCCACAATTATTATGATGTTTATTTTTGCGTATACTTAGATTTGTTCTGTTTTTACGTCAGCAAATGAGGCATCGTTGGTTTTGAAACCTGAGGCTAATAAGTCCACCCAGCATTTCCAGCCTCCATCAGATAGCATACAAAGGAGATATTCTGACAGTTCTGAAGCTGATGGCAGGCATTCAGATCAGTCACGCTTGCCGCCTCAGAGCCGATCATCTGATAAGCTGTCTGATACAACTGCACCAGGGTCAAGACTGTCAACACCTTCCAATGATGATTATCTTCACCTGCCATCACCTCCTGGTTCCCCAAAGCCACATCATCGAAGGTACCAGAAAATTATGTCTAGAAATTCATGCTTGGGTATCTTTGATAATTTTCATGTGTGTTTGTGTGTGTGTGTTCTTTGCTTCCTTCGTCTCATCTCATGCTATGTGGCTCAAAAGTTTCTATGGAGGTTACAGTATTATTGTACAATGTAAGATAAAAAAACAACAATAACTAATCCTGGTTTCACATTAAAATTAATTTTTCCATGATTAGTGTCATAGGTACAAACAAATGTGATAATATTTCATCTGTAAACTTTTATCGACTTTGAGTGTATCCCCTGTAGCATTTCTAAACATGGTTATAGTATTGGGAAAGGTCAAGTCAGGGTGAAAGAATCTTCTATTGACAGAAACAAATAGTCAAGAAAATATACATTCAAATACATTTGAGTGATATTGCACTTCCTCTAAGCCCTCAAGCCAAAAAAAAATTCACTAATTTTCCTGTTTGTGATGCGTAAGCCATTATCATAGTAAATTCTTCATTAGAATTTTTCAAAGAGGCCAGAAAAACCTGCTGAGTTTGTGACATTGCCAAAATTAGAGATAAAGCGAATTACAACAGTTGAATAATACAACCTTTCTTTGCACAGTAACTTATTCAATAAAAGTAAAATACATTAAATGTTATATTATTGTAATAATTCCTGAAACTTTCCTTCTTTGTGATTCATCTGCTTACCTTAGAACTGGTAGTTACGATCCTTTAGAGAAATCATATCAAGAAAACAAGAATTTATTAGTAGCATACAGGACAAGAATGCAAAGTTCAACAAAAGGAAGGCGCAATCAGGATGTAATATCAAAGGTGAAAACGTTATTCGTGATATATATGGATTTTTTTATTTTTTTATGACTGATTATCTTCTTTTCCTTTAGGAAACTGGTTTAAATTTGTTATCATTTGTAAATATGTTTTGTTTGTTTGTAAGGAGTATGTGTATTGTAGGGAGTAAGAG